GACACTTCCTTTTCACTCTAGAAGTAGACGGTATGGCATCAGTTTTTCGCTTTACAGAAAATCTCTCCTGCTAGTCTATGGTTTACATGAGTTTCTGGCAGTTTTTCCGGTTGCTACATCGTTGTCTTTTTGCTTTTGATTTGTATACATGAAAATTTTATAAATAAAAATTGAGGCGATCAAAAACATATTCGTGACACGTTCGACTCATTTGCTTTGCATGCAACGTTGTAGTCATTTGAAGAATGAGTTAAAAACAGGCAAAAAGATTTCAAGTTAAAAACAGGAAGATTCCTGAGTGAGCATCTCTATCTTATACCGAAAAACAATAACCCAGAGTTTCACCATTACATTGACCCGTGAAGTTATTGACACAAACGTCAGTTTCGAGATATATGTGCAGCAGAATTTCTATCGTGTTTAATTGGTTATTCTGTGCAACGTTCAGATGAATGTAATATGATTGATAATTGTTTCTTGTGGCTAATTTGTTGGTCTATGATTGAGGGCATCGCACAAGGTCGCTGGTAAAGCCCATCAAGTCATGCTATTACGCTTCCAGTGAACTTCAGTTGCTCGAATACCGTGACCCGCTTAAATAGTTCCCCTACGCGACTACAAGCAAGGGGGCGGTAGTCACTTCTTGTCAATCCGGTATCAATAATGGAAATATGTGCATATTAAGTTTCATCAACTAAATCTGCGGCATTCTCGATAAATGCATTGGTCGTTCGCTATCACTGTGAACAGCCATCTAATGAGGTGCGAAGGTGTGACAAACCATCTGCAGCCCAAATGAAGCCATATCAACGAGTATTGCCTCATCTGGTATTTCGCTCATTCTCTTACGACTACACAGAATACCGTGCTTGTAGTTTGCTACCCGTTTCCCGGCTAGTTGCACTTGACTAAGTCAGTCGAGGTAATTACTCTAAATTAGCGGTTCAGGAGGCAAATCTTTTCTATGTTACGATTCGAAACTGGCATCTCTGGAATTTAAAGCCGACCTATTTCCATTGCGTCACTGCTGGCATTGTTTTAATCCATGCCTTCATATCAGCCTCCATGCCTTCATATCAGCCTCCATGCCTTCAAAACATTAACAGCAGTAGCTACAATGTTTTTGATGTGCAGCGAAACATGAAATCGAGTGAAAACCATGTTGCATAAAAATGAACGAATTACGCTTTAATAGAAACATGCAATTACAAAGGAATAACCAAATTCAATGGATTAAAGCTTGACAACGAAGTTATGTTGGAAACATAAGGTTATGTACGCTGTATATTTTTGTTCCTATAACAATACGTTATCCGTTGTAGGCCACCAGAAAATATGTACAGAAATATAACTGTCATTGAAAGGTAACAAAATTTTAAACAACGAAAATTAATCAAAAACAAAATTGAAATTCAAGAATAGAAATTTATCGCTAACAATCATAAAACAGGGGATAAAGCAACTACTAAGCCTGAAGAGATGAACTGAAGTGTATCGAAAGTTAAACTTAGTTCGGAAGTCACACATTACATGGAAGATATGACGGCCTTTCGCAAAGAAGTGTAATCCTCGGCCGGTGGTAAAAAGGAGAGTGTCTACTGTGACTTAGAGTTTAATATAGAACCCTTTGGAACAACTATGTCCTCATACTGAGTGGCGTTCAGTCTGTCGGTGGTGTTCAGGTCAGAATCATCGTCGTCTAAAGAGCACGAAGGAGGCGTGGCCATATCTTCGTCCTTTTCATCTTCGTGCACGTACGTTGCATGTAGTGGCGTCGCCGCGCGGTGTCGAGGTTCGGCCACGCCCTTGCATACAACATCTGGTATTACAGGGCTATAATCCGTTGGTGAATGACTCCAACTGTTTTCGTCCGGTTCAGTTATGTTGTTACGCCCTCGATCAATTTGACTAAGGCCGCTTAGGTCAACCGGACCTGCTTCTTCGTGTTCAACGGTACTTTCATGAGGCATCTAAAGAAAATCGGTAAACAAATATACGGATAAAATAGCAAAATAACGTCTCCATATTATTTGGGTGTATACATATGCCTCAGGATAGTAGTAAACTTTGTTGCTGCTTGAACGTGCACTTCTTGAACGAAACTCAGAAGATGCGATGTTGCACCCGATGCAGTGCAAGCCGTTAAACTATGGAATTATAACCTGCTAAAATGACCCTTCCCAAAATCCAACAGAAGCAAAGGGTGTGTGAAAACGCAGCATCAATAACTTAACGTAAATAAACAGTTTTTCATGAAATAGAAAAACGCTTTATATAATTGACGTAAACATACCGAGCAACCATCACTACAAAAGCTATCTAGTTTCGGCTCAATACTGACAACAACACCGGCTATCTGATAATAGCGACTGTTTCTATCTTCGAATGCTGTGAGTTCGTTCATGGAAAGGTATCATTTTGCTCGTAATCCCAAAAAGAATCAGTGTCGCCGATTCGGGGAAACACCGAATAATACTGGTTAACGCAGGCCTTGTTTGTGTGGGTAGAACCACAGACAAAATGCTGCAGCGCTAACTTTGAAAATTTCTTAATGATCTTACGGTTCGACCAAAACCAGTTAGCTGCAGACAACGGCTTTCACGCAATTACTAGAGTTTTCCGACCTTATGTTAACGATAGCCCTAAGATGCGCCGATAGATGAAATATCGATGGCATCTAACATACTGACTGATCCTTCTGCTCGCGTACAACTAAATCGCTTTAACGATGCCTGACTACTACTACGAGAGTCTGTTCTGAATATGTAAAGGAAAAATTGCGCTATTATTATTGCTACTATATTGCTATTATTTTGAACGCGTGGGTTAGTGTGGCGATCGTAACCAGTTTGATTCGACAGATCTGCTAATGCCTTGAAAGGAAATTTCTCCACAGAATGGATGGAGAAAATCGCTTTGATTAAAACGTGGAGCATGCGGATTAAAGAGACAATGCTTGCACTGATCCGTGGTCGGACAGCAGACATTGATCAGCCGGCAATGCCTGCTAAATGAGATAAAGATATAAGTGTAAAATGACCACTTCGAACAATCGTCCAAATTTTCGTCACGTAAGTGTACCGTCCCATTGCATTCAATAGCGAACAAGATTATTTAAGAACGTCACAACTCCATGGCATTTCAGCACCTGCAGTGCGTAGCAACACAATTACACAACTTTTTATATCGAACGAAAACCTGTTGGAACACCAGCGGATATATCTCGATTCGTAGGTAGTACGAATTGTATAATGCAGTACAAATTAAAGTACATATTACAAATTTAGCCACATCTTGCGGGCTTATGAGCAGTGGCTCGGAGCAACTTCACCGTCAAGTCCAGGAAAGCCACGCCGAGTGAAGCTGGTTAAACCGGCACAGTGCCACGGTGACAAAAACAATTTTAGGGTTGAGCTTAAACAATGTCATTCGATTCAAGCAGAATATGGAGTCAAACCAAAAACAAAGTCAAATACAAACAGGCCAATTACCAGCATTTGTGGAGCGCGAAAGAAGTATGAAAACGGGTAGTAGAGAAGATTGCAACAACTGCTTGCATACACATCGGCGTAACGCTCCACCTGGCTTGCGAAGAACGTCAAACGTGATCCACTTCGGAACAAACTGCCCAGAATACCATAGGACATGTCCATTTCGTGGGTGACTTTCTAAAATACTCTATGTAATACTATATATCAGCCATGTCGATTGGCAAGATCTAAAGATACACTTTGCACATGCAGATACATAATGTCAAGGACGGAGGAACATACGACGAATGCGTTGGCTCACGCTCAAAAATCAACAAAACTACTTGGCAAGCTTGAACTGATTACGGTTATCTGGTCCATTTACTTGTCAGAACCGAGAGGTGGAATTGAAGTTCACTGAGATCGAGCATTTCATAATTTATTTTTCATTGTTTTCGCAGTCTGTAGAAAAATCGAACATAAACCAACTGAGACAACGCTGACCAACAAGTTAGCTCATTTTAATGCGACTACAAGAAAACAATTTCTTGAAATCGACTGATAAGAGCTGAACGGTTAGAAGTAACAAATCATAATCATTTATGAAGAACTTTTGCTTCATGCTATGCACGTGTAATGTATCTGGAAATAGTTGCCCTTAATTTCAATTACCATATCGACACTAGGACAAAACGACCTGTCTGTATTCATCATCGCATAAAAGAGAGATCCCTTCTTTCAGCGGGAAATTCTCCCACGGAACAGCATCAACACAATGGAAAAAGCATATCTCGAAGTTCGACCTGAAACCAGCATTTGGTCGTTCCCGTAAGTAACCTTCGTAAAATACTTCAGCAATCCGCAGATAAAATCCGTTAGCAATGTAGAACATGCCCTTGACCGCAGCAACGAACGCTTTCTAATGATAATCTGAGATATCATACATAATAGGTATACAGATCTGAGCTAGTTCTGCTGTGTAACTCTTTCTTCCTAGCTGTTCTGTCGTGGTCCTCTGAAACTAACAAATCTCGACTAGAATAGTAGAGCAAATTAACTGATTTATGCGTGATTATAAATGATTTCAGATCATTGTTATGCAGGTTTCATTGCTCCGACAGACATCTTCCCATTCGCAATCAGGTCTCAGTTAACGATGTTCTTTTAAAGTTATGTATCAAACGCCAAGGGGGCTACAGACAGTCGATAGCAGCCAGGAAAAAAAGTTTTGAAAAACTTTTCAATATCTTTTTGGAATATTTTAAGAAATCCACCAAAACGCTAATCCCTGGGTTTTTTGACAGTTCTTCTAGAACTCTGACACTCCGTAACTGTTCACTGGGAATCTAACTCTTGTATCACATTTTGAGGACACATCGCAGGAAGAAAAGCACTGTTGGAAGTTATCGAAAACAGCATCATGAAGCTATGATGCACTGTAAACGAATACCAAGAATGCTACTATATATATGTATATATAGTTACAAGTTCACGAGGACCGGGACGACTCCACTTCACATAAACCGAATCAAATCCTGCCGAAATTCAGGCTGTGCAGATTATTTGTTTTCAGACGCAAGCAGCCCCCTCCCGAATCATACCTTAATCAGAAATTTCTGGAGTTTTTTCCTACACGCAGTCTTGGCGGCAAGCAAACAATCAATACCAGACATTGCAATTAAATGTTCAGCAAATAATTCTGCTACTCATCGAGTTCTCAAGACATTTTTTAAAGCACGGCACAAAGCAGAAAATATTTTTTTACTGCTTAAAGATGCCCCGCTCGTCTTGGGCTACTCCTAATGCTAACTGTTTATATTGTGGTACAATGTCAAACAACTACACCACTGAATTTAACCTTCCTTTCTCTCTGTATACAAACTCACTAGTTTTAGCTCAAGAGTAACCTTGACGGTATGGCTTGTTGCAACCATCCCTTACAATTACGAAGATGGTGTCCTCACCCAACCACTCAATACTCAAATAATGTTCGCAAGCTTGTCTCGTCACTTTTATTATTTAGATTTCACTGCAATGTGGAAGTCAACCATCTTTCATCCGTAACTGAAGAACCGACACAGCAGCATGCCTAGAAAATTTGTTAATGTGGCGAAGCTAATCGTAAACTTAAACAGAGCGTGACTAAAAAGCGACTATTACAAAACACGCTACTGCTAATCTGAAGACGGTCTTTTGAGGAACAACATCATAAGACATTTGGCATCTCACGACCGCAAACCATCTGTAGGATATGCGAAAATAGGTGTAGCTGCCTCATGTTTAGACGACGGGCATTACGGCAACTAGGTTTACTGTAGTAAGTTGTACACCGGCATATTTACTTTGAAACAAAAAACAAGAGACAAATAAAACACAAAGGCTAGACAGTTAGAAGCTAGGTAAAATAATGGCGCAGCAGAGGTACACAAACTCAGTTGATCGGATGTGTCTCCTTTCGGCTATTCGTTTGCCACGGGTTTGCTCAGCAAGATGAAGAGAAAGCCGTTGCTTTTTATTTATTTCTTGTTCATGATTGCAAAATAAATATGTCCTTGCATCCTGCTGAATTCGCAGTCTGGAAATAGTGCGGGAACTCCTTTTGTGCCGTTGAGACTATGGGTGCAAGTCACACAGGAATCGTACATCATCCGTCTGCGACTAAAACCTTGTAAAGTATTGGACTGGATGAAAGCTGTTAGGAGAGAAATAATAGTTCATGAGGGTGAGCATCACGAAAGAACTGCCGAACAGTCATCCTCCAAAAAATCTCAAAGAAAAAAAACCAAGAAAATATTTGCAGGCCACCACATCGACCCGAACCCCCCAAAACTTGCTGAACTTTATGCGACGCGATTAGTCTCGGAAATCAAATCATTTCAACAGCG